TTGTTATATTATTGTGGAGTGTAGAAGTAAGCAGTACGGACTGTGTATTAAAAATTGTCCATAGAAAACCGTTAATAAGGGTGGCGCCACTATAATAACTACGGCGTAAATTTTAAAGAACGCACCGAAAAATATTAGTGGGATAGAAGACTTTTTCGAGGTTATATTTTCTAAACAAAATTATTTTAGATTTTAGAGTTACTGAGCAGTTTAGCAGCACACTTAAACCGTCGATAACTGCTAAGTTCATTTCATCCCTGTAGCTACTCCAGCGCTGTTGTGGAGAGTTTTTGAACTGTTATTTACTGCTTACAGATGGCCACTTTTTCAACTATTCTACTATGGGAGTTGGTACTCCTTACTTCTACACTCCGTACATATTACGTAATAAACGTCAAATCCCAATCATAGACCTGTCCAAACCATAGATATATTTTTTTCTTTTTTGCTTTCTACAAACCTTTATGGACGATTAAAGCACAAGTTGTAGAACAGCAAAAAATACATCCAATCGTTCTCAAGCAACAGATAAACACATGACTTCTCTTTTCCTCATGTAATTATTGTATTTGCTATTTTATTTTGTTGTTATAAATACACTATACATACCTGTCATCAGGTGTTGGAGCATTTATGTGTTTGATTGTTTTGACTTTCTATTAGAGAGCAAGTTGAATAGAGTTGAAGGTCCTATTCATTTATTTTGTATTGGTCTTTTTTATAGAATAAGAGTGATAAACGAGCACATAGCCTACCTGATGGTAAGTGGATGCTGTGGTCCATCCAAAACAAGGATTGATGTGTAGACAAACATCAATCCTTGTTTTGGAATCAAAATGCAAATGCATTGCCACCCTTGAGGATTGAGATGAAATGCCTCATTTCAAAAAAAGGATTTCCAGTTCTCTACACTCAACATACGAAATACAGCCACATTAAGCTGCTATTTACGCTGGTATTCTGTGAGAGCATGGTTCTTCCCTTCAATCAACCAGTTTTTAAGGTGCTCGCAGATTTCATAAAAACTATAAAACCATCAGACAATCAATTTATACTGATATTTGATGAAATGTCTTTTAAAAAAAAGTGTTGTATTACCCAAAAGATTTCATTGAAGGGTTTCATGATCATGGTACACGAGGAAGTTCTATAGTCAAAGCATCATATTTATAAGCATTTATAATTGTTGGTATTTTTTATATGAGAGGGGGCTAACAAGCGTACGTGGACCTGATGGTATGTGATTAACGCCGCCCATGAATAACTGCAGTACCGGTGTTTCCGGACTTTTAAAAAAGAGTAGAATCTTTTCTTGAATGTCTCTAAGTCGCATCGGTCTGGAAAAAAATCGCTGGTGGTAGTCGATTGCACAAAGAAGTTGTGCGAGGAACAAAACTTAAAAAAAATATATGTATGGCACTCGGGACTGCCGCGGTAAAGCTATTGCATAGCATTTTTATCAACTTATGCAATTATAATTATTTATTTATTTTATTTATGCAGTATTTGTTTTTCTTTGTTTTTTTCTTTGATATATCTTCTAACAAGTTATTAACGAGTTCTTCCGACAAACGATAATTTTCTATAAAGTCTGTGTTTATTAAATACTCTAAATTAGACTCATATAAATCTAAAGAATATGCTTCTTGCAATAAACTATATTATTGTTTAAAATATTTTTATTATCTTACAATACATGCAAATAGTCTACACGCATACGTCTAGTCGCACGCACACAAACACCGTGCCGAAGTCTGCCGAACTTTAACGACGTTAGAGGATGCACGGCTTTCAACGCCGCACCGATGTGTCAGTCGGAGTGGGGGGTGTTAGGTTTATTTTCGTTACGGAATTTCTTGGTTCGATCGCCGCGCTGAAAGCCCGCGATAAAAGCTATGCAATAGTTTAAAAATAACCGTTTATCGTACAGCAGAGGAGCGCCAATCATCCAGGTGGTAAGGATGGTAAACGGTGGAACAGACCATAGCCCACTATATCTCCAGAGCATTTCCAACTGCAGATAGACTTGCTGTACTAATAAAAGAGCTAATTGTCAGCACTATTTGTTGTTTATGTTTTAAATGTTAATATTTTCCATACATTTATTATCCATAAATTTAATAAATTATAATGTTTTCAGGGTCATGGCACAATTATCAACATTTTAAGAGACTGATGGCAAAAATGGAGAGAAATAGAATGCAGTAATATAGTATGACGTTGTAAAAAGGCAGATAAAATATGTTCATCATAACATAAATGGACATGGAGGAGTTTTAATTGCTATTCATGATACAGAGTTTTAATTGCTATTCATGATACAGAGTGCAGATTATCTCAACTCTCAAATTAGCTCTCTCATTAGATTAGAGATAGCAAAAAATGTTTAATAAAGGGTTATTTTATCGCTAAGAGTACGTGATTGATAATAACACCTGGGAATGAAGTGATCGCTACCATGCTGTTAAAAATGTTTTTTCATACTTTTTTTAATAGGAGGGGGCAAACGAGCATACGGCTCACCTGATGGTAAGTGATTACCGTCGCCCATGAAAAACATGCAAAGCATTCCAATATGTTCTTTTCTGTCTGTTTTAAATAAATATAGTGTGATAATTTTGTTTCTACAAAAAAACTGGTATTCATTTTTACACTCATCTGATTCAAAATTTATTATGAAATAAAGGAGTCATTTCCATAGTAAATTACTCACTATTTGCTTATTGCTTTTGCTACTGGTTAAAAACTGAATTGTACCAGTACTTGTCTATCTTTATTGAATGAAACAAAATATAGTTTAGTTCTCTTATTGTGTGCATTGGTATTGGCACCATTTTTTTTTGTAAAATAACTTTTAATTTTAACTGTAACAAAATTTATTTTAATTCTAGGATTTATTAAAATTTCAATCATTTTTAAAATGATTGTAAATTTAATAAATCCTAGAAATTATTCACCTTAAGCTACAATTTACGACCCTTTTGAAACCTTGGGTACGTTAGAATAATTTTTAACCAAGTAAGAAAAACTTGTTCAACCTTCCGTGAACCACGCGGATAAACAACCTTCCGTGAACCACGCGGATAAAAGTTACGTCCTGCACCACGTGGGGTTTTCTGGACCCTGATTATTATCGAGGAATAGAATCATCATCATCATCATCATCACTACTGCCCTTCACAAGTCCACTGCTGAACATAGGCCTAAAGGAATAGAATGTGTTGATTTAAATTATTTGTTAGTTTTTTGTGTATATAGTGTTTTTGATTTATTATTGGATAAACGTAAAATAAACTTGTGAAATAAAATAAACATTTTAATACTCTTATATATAAAAAACATAAAAGTGAGTTTTGCACAAACTAAAAATTATACTCTTCTTTGGCATAGGCTATATTTATAAAAAATATTTTTGCAAACCTTTGTATCGTTTATTTTAAAGGCCAACGTAATAAAAAATAAAAAACAGTGAGAGGTGGCTTAATATATTCAGACTTCATGAGATCCTGGGTTACAGTTTTTACAGTAAAAATGTGCGTGCTCTAAGCATATAGGTACTTCACATTTCTCACAACTGTACTTGGTCTTTCGGTCTTTTCTCCTGTCGCATTCCGAACACCTTGTTTTAGATCTTGCTATTTTTTTAGCGGCTCCTGAGGCGCTTAAAATCATATATGCGTTTACGAGAATCTTTCGGAATCCGTGGATTGTCTTTACGGTTTCTCAAATGCTCATCCATCAGAGACATTCCTAAATCGCGAATAAATCTCCTTCTATGATTAGTTTTTACTGTTTCAATACAATTATTCAACATGTGTTAGATCATACCATTGATTCCCGCGTGATTGAGCATCGAAAAAAATACAGTAAGTGGCCAGCACCTAGAGTTACGAGACACGTCATATGTCCACGCGAGTTTATCCACCACATCCACTCCACTTTTAGTTTTATTGTAGAATGTAATTATGGATGGTTTTTGCTGGTTGCCGGTGGTGACATTACGAATACGTGTTTGCGTGGCTTTGGTACATAAGAAACCAGAGTTATATCCTTTTTGGAAACCAAATCTTGAAGAACGTTCCTCTCGTGTTAGCTTGAAACACAGTGGAATGCAAGTTTTATTGGCTCTCAAGGTACCTACTACTGTTACTTTATGTTTGAATAGTAAATTTTCAGTAGCTTCGTAACTGGGGAAAAAATTGTCCATTGTTATATTTCTTGAAGATCCAGAAACGCAATTCACTATACGATCGACGATGTCATAGGGTTTGTTGCAGACCGCGAAAGGACTATTATCTGGGTGTTTACCACAGTAAATCTCTAAATGCATGTTGTAATATGTTTTTGCATCTACTAAGTCATATATTTATTCCACATTTGGCAGGTTTAGATGGAATATATTGGCGGAAACCACATCTACCCCGAAAGGCAACTAACCCTTCATCTAGTGTTAGGTATTCAAAAGGTGTATACGCATTTCGACAACTTTGGACAAAGATCTCGAAAATATCTCGGATTGGTGCCAAACGATCAGTCTTTATTCTTTCTTCCCTTGTCCGATCCGATTTTTCGACATTGTGCAACGGAACATTTCAATTCCTGTACCATCATGAGCCCATAAATCATTGAGGTTTTGTCTACTAGATCGATACAATCCAGCTAAAAATAAAAGCCCTAAAACAGCTTTTATTTCAGATTTAGTTGTTCCAGAGTACAGCGCATTTATGTTTTTGCCATCTGATGACTGTGGTTTAGATAAGCATATTCTTACATTGGTATATTTTACAACTATCTCTAGTATTTCATTGGAAATAAATGCTTCAAAACATTCCAAATGGGTTTTTTTATCTTTATATTAACTCTTTACTATGTAAATGTGTAATTATATTTTCATTTCTTGTATGAATATTAGTCCTTAGCGGTTCCTTTAGCCATGTAGTTTTGCAGTCTTCACCCGTATAAAACTTATGAGAACTAGAAAACTCACCACCCGAAGTAATTTATTCTTCTTCTTCTTCACATTCACATTCAGACTGCACACTCAAATGATCCGATTCATCTTCGCTTCCAGGTAAAAAGAGCTCGTCCAAATCGTCGTCACTTTCTTCCGAAAGAGCAGATGCTATTGCATTGTCACTCATTCGATGAGCCATTTCAAATCCAAGGCACCTGTTGATAACACGTTAACATAAAAAAACTGTCAAAAAGTAGAAAATAATATAGTTTTACTGCATTCTACAAAAACATACTACTTACGTTTTAGACGACGTCCCAAACCACGTGGGGTTTGTGAGACCCTGAAGCACTTTGGATACGTCTGTCCGCAGCGCCCGCGACACGTTTACTAAATCACTGTCACTAGACGGTTTGACAACGTCGCAACTCCAGCTACTTAAAGCATCAGAGCAAGCGTGCGAATTTTAAAGAGTTACAGAAATTTTTATTTCGCTGGGTGTTTATTAGACCCCACATGGTGCACGGAAGGTTAAAATGGGTTTTTACGAAAAAAAAAACAACAATGTCCACGATTGCAGCTACAATTTACCGAGTGGACCATTTTGGAATCCTTATCGCCAACTTTTGACGCTATTTGCCATACTAGTGTAGTATAATTTTTTTTAAGAGTCAGTTAAACTGGGCGATTTTTTTTAGAAAATAAGTTCTATTTTTAAGCAAACTTAGCCTTGAGCACAGAGCCTTGAGGGACATCGGCTTTGATTTGACGAGTAGAGGATAGCGTGCCTTCGTATCTAAAGCGAAAGGTACGATCCTTCAAATAGGTTGCTACAAGGCGGATGAGACAGTCAGGGAAGCCTAAGTCGTACAATTTGTAGATAAGGCCCTCGTGCCAGACTCTGTCGAATGCCTTGGCAATGTCGAAAAAGACCGCGATGGATTTTTGACGATGAGGATAAGAACCGCTGAGGATATATTCCACTATGCGGTGAACTTGTTGGTGGCACGTGGCTCGAAACCCGAATTGTTGAGGGATGACAAGAGGGTCGCCGTCTGTGGGAAACAAACGGCGCCTCATGCTCACGAGAATAACTCGTTCGAAAAGTTTGCCCATGGCCTTGAGGAGGCTGATGGGACCGTGATTGGAGGGGAGGTGGTGAGGTTTGCCTGGCTTGGGAATGCCAATGACAGTTGCCTCTTTCCAAGAGGTGGGAAAGTAGCTGAATTCGAAGCAGACGTTGAAGATTATGGCCAATAAGGCGATCACCTGCTCCGGAAAGTGTTTGAGGGCTTGGTTGGAGATGCCATCCGCACCTGGTGCTTTTTTGGGTTTAAGTCCTTTGATGGTAGATGAAATCTCATCTTTGGCAGTGATAGGGTCAGAGGCGGTGGGGGGCGAGTTCCGGCGACGGACCTCGTCCTCCACTAGTTTGATGTGTAGGGGGTCAGTGGGTTGTGAGCTGGGAGAGCATTGAGCGGCGACGCTGTCGGCGAACCACTCAGCCTTTTCTTCGTCCTCGAAGGCAATAGAGCCGTCGGGACGAGACAGAGGAGTATGCGTGGTAGCGTCTATCCGGAGGGTTCTCGCCATCTGGTAGTACGCTGTGTGGGAGGGGGAGATTTTCTCCGTGAGATTGCCCCTTTCGAAATCTCTGTAATCTTTGGGGCGGTAACGGAGTTTGCGTTGAAGGCGGTGATTATAGATTCGCGGCCGCGAGTCTATAATCACCGACTGCGCCGGCAGTCTGTGAGACTGCAGACTTCCCGGAGCGTCGATTCTTCACATCAGCTATATGTTCTTTAACGCGGGTTTTTATTGATCTTTTAGTTTGTCCTATGTAGGAGAGACCACATTCAAGCTTGTACACTCCTGCATCTTGCAGAGGGACATTACACTTGACTGATGGTAAAAACTGACCAATCTTCTTCAGCGGCGGCAGCGGCAGCGGCAAGTATGTTTTGATGGAAGCACGCTTCAAGATGTAGCCAATCTTGTCAATGACTCCTCTAACATATGGCGACTGTGGCCGGCTTCACTAGTTCACTGTGACAGTCCACAGTCGAGCGTGTACCTGCTGTACTGCCATATGTTACATAGACACTAGATGGCGCTAGTGCCGGGTACATGACGTCAACTTAGGCGCGCAACAATATTATCATTTAATGTATTTATCGCACCGTTACTTCCTATATTTGGCTGGTATCTAAATTGTGGTGTATTTATTATTTTATTATTGTGTAGATGTTTAGGTAATATAATTTTAATCAGTCTCAAAAATTTTTTGAAATAGATGGTAAAAGCGACGTGGGCCTGTAGTTTTTAGAATCATTTTTTGAACCATTCTTATGTACAGGTAATACCTTTGCAATCTTTAATTACCCAGGGAAAATGCCCTTTTCATAACATTCACTGTAAAATCTCGCTAATGGTGATCTTAGTATTTTTCTCAGAGACTGGAATTGGTGTGTCAACCCAACCGCATGACTTCCTGTCTTCCATACTTTTTACTACTTTAGTTATTTTCTCAGGTGCTAGTGATCCCAACTTACATAATTTATGGAAGGTTGTACATTTTGCTTAAGGAACTTCATTGATTGAGGAACCTGTCGATGGTGATAGGCCATGATCAAAATTTTATACATAAGTACTCACACCTTTCACCTAAAGGGGTAGGCAGAGACTACATACTTCCATTTGGCACGATCCTGACACACCTCTCTCGCATCTTCCACATCCATATTACCTACGCATACATGCTCGTCGTTTAAGGGTACTCTTAATTTGGCCCCTTTTCAATAGATCGCCAATTTGGTCGACAAACTTTCATCAAGGGCGTACCTTGCCGGATCTGCCGTTCACAATTTCAAAATTTTCCGCAAAGATATCCACAATTTTTTGAGTACTTTCGATATATTTGTTGTTATGCTTTAACAGAAATTTATTCTCGGTTACATTGGGAACTTCCTGTTAATTCAGTCAGTCAGTTACTGTACAAGGCCGATAGACGCTTTCTCGCGGAGAGCTAATTTCTAGCTATATCAACTCATCTAATTCTGTGAAAAAACAGAATGTGGAAAACAACAGGTTAAACTTTATAAATTTTATTTTTATTTTTAATAGGAACATTAATCAGTCTTCTATATATCATATAAGCAATTGTAACCTTAACACATATGAATTAACTCAGCGTAAAATGAGCTTAATCAAACCGCGATAACTTGTCTGATTCTGCGACAAACACCATAATTCGGTGATAGTACTTCACTAATTATGTTATAACCGAATTAACTGAGTATTTATTATTTTTTTAACACAAAAGTAACAAAAAATAAAATTAATGAAAAATATAAATATACTGAAAGTAATAATTATGTATTTATAATCATAATCAACGAGAAACTATCAAAAGTGGGGAAAAATAAAAAACAATATTGGATTTTATAATTGTTTTTTATTCTTCACCACTGGACTCGTCAATACTACAACAATTACACATAAAAATTTCTTGGTTGTCACTTATAATTTGACTTTGGCAATGGGTGTGATAAGGATTTGTACAGAACGAGCATGTTATCCAGTCGGCTCCATTTTGTAACTTAACATCTTGTGAGTATAGCCCATTGCACGTGCTACAAATTCAATCATCATTCGAGATAGAATATTTTGATCTCTTTGATGATTGAGAAGATTGTTTGACATTTTCGTTTGTTTGTCTTCGTGATTTTGGTTTATTAACCTGCTGAAGGGATAACTGCCGCCGTATATCTTCTTTTTTTGACATGTCTTACAGATACGGTTGCAGATGATGTTGTGGCAACCGGTGTTAAACACTGAGCTTTGGGAATAGTTCTCATTTTTTGTGTTTTGGTATTTGTTTTTCACTTTGGTAATGTTAATATATCATGTATAATTTTATTTTTGTTTTGAGGTCTTGATATGTAGTCGGTGGTTAAAATGTTTAGTTCAGTATTGGTAATTGGTTCTAACTCGCATTCCATTTGTAATACAAGAGGCTCATCATTCTGTGTTTGAGATTTTTCAAAAAGACTAGTACTTGAGATCGAAGGGTCGTCATTTTCTTTGACTTCTCCGTCACACAGAGGGTCATTGTGTAGTCCAGAGTGAGGAATTTCATCATCGTAGTCAATACCGATAGTTATTTCTTCCATTGAATCTTGTCCAGTAATTACAGGTTGATCGGATAACTTGGAAGGTGCAATAGCGTCTGAGCATACAGCATTTTTATTTAATGAATAAATTCCAGCTTTACTAAATCCTGCTCGATTATTGGTTGGTGTGAAACATTTTTCATAGACCGGTGTTTGAAATTTGTAGAAATCATGTTTTGTGGGTACTAAGCTGGGATGTTTTATTTTATAATTTTGTAACTCTGCTCTCCATGCCGCTTTAAGTGGCCGAAACACTCCCACATCCAGAGGTTGTAAAATATGGCTGGTGTGAGAAGGCATTGTAAACAATATTATCTAGTGGGATTTAGCATACTCAAGCACTTTTGGACTTATATGACTTGCATGTGAATCCATAATTAAAAATACAGGTCGTGCAGGAGGAATATTTTGATCGAAAAACTTAAGCCATTCAAAGAATAAATCCAGCCCTTTGGTGACAGTCGGGTTAAACCAAGGCTGGCCAATAGATTTTCCAGGTGAGCAAAATTTCTTAGACTGTGGCGGCGCCGGGCCACCGGTACTCCCATATTCATAAGGTAATTTATACACAATAAAGACAAAATATGCTATAATGTACTTTATTTGTAAATTAAATAAAATAACATTTTTTTTATTTAATGTGAGCTGTGAAGAGGTTTTCCTGATAGTAATTTGTCGATATTTGGTTTTAAATCTGAAGTTGATAGTACAAACAAATCCGAAATGTGTTTTGCAGTGAGAGATGTGCAGTATTTATTTTTAATGTATGATAGAGTTGAAAATGTTTTTTCACACACATAGGTGGATCCAAACCTGCTTAAAATTTGCATAGCAAGGTCGCGCAATGTTGGGAAATCTTCACTAGAAACTTTTTTCCAAAAATTTGCAAAACTTTCTGTTAGCTGCTCTGAAGATACGTTTTGGGAGAAAACTTGTTTAAGAGCAGTGTGATTTTGAAGATCTGTCACTTCTAGCTGAATGTTTGCTGGATATTCAAGCAGATCAGTAAAACTGATTGCAAAAGGATTCATAAACAGCTTAATATTTTTCTTGTCAGATTCAAAATCCTGGAATCTGTTTTCAAAAGATTCTTTTAAATATTTTATTTTTGATAGGTACTTCGGGATATCAAGGGCAGTGATTTTAAACCCTTCTTTTTACACTTGCAAGTGTGAAAAAATGGTCTATTTTATTTCTCTCTAAGTTTGCTGCAAACAAGTTCAACTTCCCTTCGAAACCATTGATCAAGTTTAACATTGCCGGAAGAGAACAATCTTTTCCTTGCAATTTAAGGTTCAGAACATTAAGGTATAATGTCAACTACAAATGCAAGATCGCAAAGCCATAATAAATTTTTAAGCAGAGCTCTCTGCTGATAATGCTTGTTTTTCTTCCAGAAAATCCAGAACCTGGTCCCTCAAATCATAAAAATATTTCAACATTTCGCCCTTTGGGTAACCAGCGAACAGCGCAATAGAGATGTAATTCGCAGTATTCTTTAATTTCTTCTTCAAACAACGTTCTGAATTGTCGGCGGTTAAGTGCTCTGGCACGTATGAAATTAATGCAACGTACTACTGGGTTAATCTCATCCTCGAACGTCATGTCTTTAGCGCACAAAGCTTCTTGATGGATAACACAATGATAAAAAAACAATTGTCGACCGATATGATTTTGCAGCAAAGCCACAGCACCATTGGTTTTCCCTATCATCGCAGGTGCTCCATCAGTGCAAACTGAATTGCATTTATCCCAGTTTAGGTTCTTACCCTCAACGCAATCTTTGAGTTTCATGAATATATCCTATCCTGTGGTAGTAGTTTTAAGTTGACAAAGGTCCAATAAACCATGAAATATATTAAAATTGTCATCAATACAGCGTACAAAAACAGCTAACTGCGCTATACCTGTTAAATCGCAGGTTTCGTCCAATGCAAGTGAAAAATATCTGTATTTAGTGACAAACTCTGTAATTTGACTGATAATGTCTGTTGACATTTCTTCTACTCGTCTCATTACTGTGTTGCGCGAAAGTGAAATACTATCTGCCATGGCTTTAACCTTTTGATCATTGCAGTTCTGCGCAAAAATTGTCAAACTCTGTTTTATAATGTCCCCATCAGAAAACGGCTTTTTCTTTTTAGCCAAGAGTAATATTTCATACGATGTTTTGACCATGGCTTCCAATTCGTCATGTTGATTTACAAAAATATTATGCTGTGAAAATAGCTCTTTCTTCTTTTTCTTTATAAAATCTGTCCTCAAAGCTGAGCCCATTGGATACTTTTTTTCGAATTTCGCATGGTTTTGTTTGAAATGCCGCTCTAAATTATATTTTTAGCAACAGCTACTGTTGCTGAGCAAATGAAACACACCGGTTTGCGGGCTTTGCTCTCGGTGATAAATTATTTTAGTTCCCATTCTTCATGAAACGTCCGAGAGTTATCCTTTATTTTTGATGTACTAGGTTTGCTAAGAGCCATTCTAAAACAATAGAGATTTAACTTGTAAACTACAGTTAACGATTTTAATATGGAATGTTGGTAAGTTAAGTAAAATAATTGATTTGGACAGGCACAATACGACAATATTAATAAAACTTGACTAAATACCTACTTACCTACAGTTATCATATAACGCACAATAAACAAACAAAAACCTAAAATGGTAGGTAGGTATCTAAATCAAAATCACAGCACGTACATAGTCACTTACCTGCAGAAAATGCAAATGCAAAGTTTTTATAGAATCTTTTCTAATTTTCAAAACAAATTATCACCTAACTGATTTTATTATTGTAGTACCTAATCCAATGCACTCGAAGTAAAATTGGTATGTAGAAGTAGCGACAACACCCGAACGACGCGGATCGGTTGCGCTCGGGCGGGCATGTTTTCGTTTTAACCGACCAATCAGGTGGAGGCGGCGACACCGCTCGACCCGGCTTGCCGATGGCGGACAAATTTAAATGCCTTGGCGGGCCACTTGGTGGCCCCCGTGCCTGGGTTTGGCCGGCCTTGGGTTAAACTGTTTGGCAGAGAACCATTCGATAGTTCCGGAATATTTCTTACTCCTTTGAAAATCACTAAAGAGGGAATAAAATTCCCAGCTACATTAACACAAGCTAGCACGGTGGTTGTAGTGCCTTTTTCAGCATACGTTCTATTGTAAACGTATTTTTTTGCCTATTTTAGTTACAATTTTAGAAGCTTTGTTGACATACATAAGACCTGTTCTGTCACAATTCCATATCCTCTCTGGACAATTCATCAAATTACGTACAACTAATGTTGCTTCTAATTTCATAAAAGTCAGCTATTGATGCAGGATTTCAACAAATAGCACGGCCAGATGAAAGGTTTTCTGGAGTTCTTAAACTTAACCCATAACGTTCTTTGAAGCCTACCCACCAATTCCATCCTGCACATTTTTTGTTTCTATTGAAGTTATGCTTGAATTTCGCTGTCAAGCATAACGCGAGTAAAATATTAGCGATCGAAAAAGCGATTTGCCGGATTTGGATAACAGTAAGTCTAAATCCAAGTTCTTGCATTTGTATAACGTATGAAAATAAACTTTGTTCTAAATTTGCTGACAAATAATATGGTCTACCAACCTTGAGTATTTTAATTTGTTTATGTTTGATTATGCCCTGCTTGCGTTATTGTTTTACCCTTTCAACATTGACCTTTAAAGTACTCCACGGCACTTTATATTCTTTTGATGCCCTGTACAGACTCATTTGAGATGATTGCGGGAACACTTTCAATTGCGGATGTCAGGGTTGTTTCATTATGTTTTCTATTTTTATTTTTGCCTTTCTCCATGCCATCTAAAATAAAAAAATAACTCAATTATGTGATAAAAAAATAACAGTCTTTTTAAAAATGCTTGAAAGTGATCCTACTTTATTACCTGAGTAAAGATAAATATTTTCTGACTTAAACTACTAACGTACACGTACTGAAAACTATTATAAATACACGAATTGAAAATAATAAAAGTTTGCTTTGTTAATTCGGTGACACTGTTTTGAGTTGCAATCTTGAGAACTTTTTGAACCCAGGAAATAAGGTATTATGCAAAAACAAATTACTAAAACCTTTATCGGTATCAACAAGTATATGTTTTTAACAACTAATTGTCAAAGTATCATATAACTTACACTCACCTTTTCTATTTAAAATGATTTAAATAATGACAGCACAGTCGCACGCTACCGGTGAAACGTCAAACATGGCGGGCGCAATGAGAAATCCCGTGATTGTTACTATCTCACTCGCACGATCTTAAAAAAAAATTGTACACGAAAAGAAGCTTTATTATCATACCATAGGGTTCATTTTAATGTAATGGATTTTACTCCTAAAACGCTGTGAAAGAGTCCAAACGTTGTATTTCCGAATTAAGTGAGTCACACAATTAGGTGAGTTTACCTTACCCCTTTTTCAGGCATCATAAGGGTATATAGGAATAACGAACATAATACCATACTCAGTGTTGTAATATTAATAAATCTCTAAAGCTAAAATATAATATATTAAAAGTATGTTATTCAATTTACTTTTAATAATTTATATGATAAAGGTACTTTTAATTTAGTTATTTTTTTTTCGCGCTTTTTCAACTATATTTTTCAATTCACTCGTAAATATTTTGTGAGTATAGATTGATAATTCTTCACTTTTGATTGTGCAACCGGGTTCCAGCGCGATAACATGGGCGGTTATCAGCTGTTCCACGGTAACTTGATCACCGCAAAGGCTCTCACGTTGTATTTATCGCATGTTGTAAATAAGTAATTGTTCGCCTTATTTAATTACGTTACTGCACGTTACTGCACTCCGCGATCTTTACTTAGCACTGATTTGTGTTATTATTTTTTAAACACAGATTGATTGCGCGGAAAACCATCCGTATTTATTTTATTGTCGGTAGGCTTGCCAAATCGTTTATCCCTTTCCAAAACGATAATATTCCTACCCTCCTATGGACACATCGGGGTGGTGGGGTGGGAGGGGAGAGAAGATGATTCTAGAATATTACGCGATCATCGCAACCGAAGGAATAAAAGGCACGCGCGGCCGACGCGCACTCTCTTCCCGCCGCGCTCGTCGTTGGAACCACACCGCTTAAGACAATAGTGTAATAGAAGGGCTATTGCCCACGCGCACCGCTAGTATAACCGCTTAGCCTGAAGCAGTCGAGCTCCAGGAAACCCGCCTCACCTCGTGTGAGAAATACTCGCGCACCGCCTCTCTCCCGACGTATCACCGGACAAAAAAGGCTGGGGCCCCAGAGAGTCTACCCAGAGTGTCTTCCAGAAGTTGCAGCAACTTAGTGCCCAAGCCGCATAGAAGCAACACCCCGGTGAGTGAATATTCCTTACTAATTACTGCTTGATATAATTGTGTCCGCTCCAATTTATTTTCTCCTAATCAAGCAGGATTCCTTTCATAGATTTGGCAAATAATAGTTCGTTTTAGGGAAGAGCGAGTGCATTGTATGGGAAACCGCGTGCTATAGTCGCCATTTTATGTAAACGTAGAAGCATTTCGTATATACAGTCCACTTTGGTTAATATCTCGCGTAATAGGTTTAAGGTTCGACCGGGGAATTAGACTTCGGTAACCTTAGGCTCGTCGTTCCACCATTTTATGGTCACTTCGGCAGGATTTGGACTGGTGTTTAGTAGTCGTTCAACCATTTTCTCGTCGAATTATTAGATTAATTACTTAGACAATGCACTCTAATTTATGGAATAGACTTAAATAGTGTTCGTTTAAAATTTAAATTTTGGTTAGTTACTCGCAAATAGAATTATTCATTTAAATAGTGTTTGTATTTGGTTTAAATTTAAAGCTTATTAGTCACTTAAGTAATTGAAACAGTGTAATCACACGCGTTTTGTACGCTTACCCGACAATTTTGATAAAAATATATTGAGTTTAGCGAGCTACGTGCGTCACCTCGGCTCGCTGTAACAGGTGTTCAACTTAACGACGTAAAGGAGTCCGCACACTAATGGGAACGGAAAGGGATCGTAACCGTATCGCCTTTCACCTCGCTGTCAACCAGGCGTCAACCTACCGTATGCACGTAACGAAAGCGTATCAGCAGCGCCTGTACGTTAACTCGGCTACGGCTAGGTGACACCGCGCTTACGCCTCGCCGCCCGCTGGCTGACCTGGTTGGCACCAGATCAGTTTGAATCCAAACGTTAAGTGTAGCGCACGGTTATGTCTTGGGTTACAATACGTGAGTTGGCTATCATAGCCATAGTACTTGATGAAGAGGAAAAAGAAAATAGCAAGAAAAAAAGGAAAAGATATTGGGTACACAATATGAATAAAGCAAGGAGTACTGAAGGGGAATTTCGGACTATAAAAAAACATTTGATGGATGATGAAGAGAAATTTTATATTTATTTTCATATGCCGAAATTTCTCTTTTATAACATATTGCAGTCTATAGATGAATGTATAAGGAAGAAGAATACAACATTCAGAGAAACAATATCGCCCGAAGAAAAACTAGCTGTAACGTTAAGGTGAGAAATTGCATTTGTTTTTGGAATTTTTAATCTGGTCTACAAAGATATTTGTACCTAGGTGGATTGAAAAGTACTCGGCCTAACACAGATCCATTCAATTCTAAAAATCAAATCTACCCACATTATTTAGTTCAGTTCAGACTAGTTCATTGTGTGAAGTTTGAAACGTGTGCGATAATTAGTTGTGATTTTATAAATTTATTAACAAAGTAATCGGACATAATTTCCGCGAATGGAGCAAATCGAGCAGCGTGCCGTCATTAAGTACCTCCATAAGAAGGGGCTATCATCAAAAGCCATCCATGATGACATGGTCCGTACATTAGGCGATTGTGCTCTGTCATATTCATCCGTCAAAAAATGGATAGCAGAATTTAAGCGTGGTAGAGAGAGTGTGAAAGATGAACCCCGCTCTGGAAGGCCTTCGACGTCAACTACTGAAGAAAATATTAAAAAAAGTACTTGATTTAATAATGGGAGACCGCAGATTAAAAATTAGAGAGATAGCCGAGATTATAGGCATCTCTTATGAACGAACTCAAAACATCATTGTCAACGAGTTGGGTTTCCACAAGGTGTCTGCGAGGTGGGTTCCGCGACTGCTTTCAGTTGAACAAAAAAGGAC